TACTACAGGCAAGAGGTACTTCATGCATTTACAGTAAATTTAACTTGTTTCATTCACTTCTTGATTTATGGAAAAATCTTTCTACATTCCATGTTAGTCTTCTACTGTTGTGGAGTCACTCCACGCATATTTTCATGCTTTGCAGTCTTGTTCATCTCGCTAGTAGGATCTTGCATTACTCAGAAAACACTACCAGCCAGAGGACTGCTTATGTTTGAAATAAGCTTGAAACCGTTGACATTGTTATGTTTTAAATGAATTTCACGTAAATAAATTTTAAATTAGCCTAATTTGTATTTTCTTTGGTGATGGATTTATTTCAATACAAATGTAACCAGCTTTAGATGACTTTGACTTGAAATTCATTTTAGACTTGAACATGTCAATCAGATTTACTGGAGTTTGTCATCATGTAATACTCTGCTTAAGTTAGGTAGTCATAGGATAACATGATTTTAATTAACCAAATTGACATTTTCACTTTCTATTTTCAGTAATATTTAACAGCATGTATCACTGTATGAAAACCTTAAGGCAAGTTATTCTTGAAAATATAGAATGGTCATCTACTATATATATATATAGAATTTATACAATTCTATAAATGAGATTAACCTGTGCCTTTGTTATTTATTGTATTTTTTAATAAAAATTGCTGTTATTAAAAAGAAAAGTAAAATGAGCAAACTCCACTAAAAATTGGGCAAAGTTGACTAAATATGCAAGCTGCACCTCCCGCTGGTAGTCGTTTCTAATCCTCCTGAGATCCTACCAGCTAGAGGATGGAAATTTAGAAAAAAAATTCAAGTGTATTCTTAAAAAAAAAAAAAATTTATGCCAAAGACTGTAAGGGTACAACTTGGCGTGCAGAAAACTAAAATGTCGAGCAAACCATAATAAGAATTGGGCAAAGTCCACTGAGTATGCAAGCTGTACCTCTAGCCGGTAGTATATTCTAACCCCCCTGAGATCCTACCAGCTAGAGGTACAAGACCAAATAAAAATAAATAAAATCACATTCATTGTTGAAAAAAGTCATTCAAAGGGGTTTAAGACTAATTTGGAGCACAGAAAAGTAAAATGTGAAGCAAACCATATGAGAAATTGGGCAAAGTCGACTTAATATACCAGCTGTACCTCAAGCCGGTAGTATCTGCTATACCTCCTAAGATCCTACCAGCTAAAGGTACAAGACCAATTAAAAGAAATAAATGTAAATGTACGCTTATAAAAAGTGATTCCAAGGTGTGTAAGACTACAACTTGGAGTGCAGAAAAAAAAAATGTTGAACAAACCGTAATAAAAATTGGGCAAAGTCGACTAAGTATACAAGCTGTACCTCTAGCCGGTTGTATTTTATAAGCCCCCTAGGATTCTATAGAAAAATTTACTCGTCAGACAGTCAATTTTTCTTGAATGGCATGGTTGAATAAAAATTAACTTACTTGAATTGCCCGCCATATTGCAATGGCTGATAATCACCCGATTGTCGGCCATTCCAATATGGCGGACCATTCGAGTAAAGGAATTTCAGGAATACCATTTGCGATTTGCCAACAGTCAAGCAACGTGATTGAACCAGACATGAACACTATTACATGCTTTACATGTAAAAAATACATTTTAGAGTGTAATTCAAGGAAATTTCGCTAAATTTTGTAGGGCTGTTTCCTTCACCCTCGTCGATCTTAAGTTTCTTGATCAGCAGAGTTTCTAACTTAACACTGTAGCCGCCGAGACCAACGCTTGCAAAGGTAAACAAAACTTGTGAATAGTATCGCCACCATAATGCCTTTGACATAGTGCTACTGGTTAGAAAGATTCCCATAGTGACACTTCTATTGTCTTGTACCTTTAGCCCATAGAATCTCAACAGGCTTAAAAAATACAACCGGCTAGAGGTGTAACTTGCATATTTAGTAATCGACTTTTCTACACTCCAAATTAGTATTAAACACCTTGGAATCACTTTTTTACAAGAGTACAAATTACAAAGTACAAAAGCTTAACTGTTGGTAAATCGCATATGGTATTACCTGAATTGTCCGCCATATTGGAATAGCCGACAATTTCCGATAATCACCCGACTCAGAAACTCGTCACTATTATTCTACAGGCGTACCTCTAGCCGGTAAGATTTAGGTACAACCCTTAAGTTGTTGGGCATGTAACCGCGTGTTAGGTCTCTGTGAGTGATTTTGGTGAAAGTCGCAAGTGGGTGGTAAATTTGTTTGACTTTTATGGAAAGCCGATATCTAGATAGAGCTAATCCTTCCAAAAAGAGAGGGAAACAGTATGCCGCTTTCGTTTGTTCAAATGCATTTTATGGCCCCGATGGCTTGCCTACGCGTTTTCACTTCAAGTTTCGGAAGGATTCGAACAAAGACGCCGATGGTGCAATCTCATCAAACGTCAGCATGGGAAAGATGGTATTTCAACTGTGGTTTCCTCAGAGTATTTTCGAAAAGAAGACATTCGAAAAACTTTAATAGGCCGCTGGGAATTAGCGACAAGTTCTGAACTATCTCCCCCTTCCTCCCACCCCCCCACCCCCAAAAAAAAATAAATAAATAAAGAAGTAGGCTTTTTATACCCTTAACATCTAAAAGTTTAAAAACTGTTGAACTAGATGACGAATTTTGTGATGAAACTGGAGAAACTGCTTTAAAGGATGCTGTTTTAGCTTCACCAGATGCTGCTACATATGAGAGTATGACTGATCCTCCTGTGGATCCTGAAGCTATGGTGCTAAATTGACTCAGCAGAGCTGAAATGCTAGAAAAGCTAGTGTCCACTTTCGAGGCAAAGGTAGTGCAGTTGGAAAAGGAAAGGAAGCTTTGCTTGCACGCCAGTTTTCTCTCGACATATCAAAGGTGACGATGCAGCCGTGCCTTTTACACTGGCTTTCCCAATTTTGAGGCTGTAATAAGCTTTTATGATTATATTAAACCGAAATACAGTAAAAATGCAATATTGGAAAGAAAAGAGGCTCTTGAAGGAAAGTCAGTCTAATCAGATGGATATGAACAAAAATAAACCAGGACCTTCATGGACACTAACCTATCTCTATCTTGTCTTATTGCGATTGAAGACGGAATTTTTCTGTACAAGATCTTACTGACAGATTTGGAATTAGCGTGAGTCTCGTTTTGCGAACGTGATTGCATGGATGTATTTTCTTTCTGTGGACTCTTCCCCTTTCCATCTCAAGAACTGTTTGGAAAGAACATGCCTCAAAAGTTTTCAGAATACCATACTACGAGAGTTATTTTGACTTGCAATGAAATATTTGTACAGCAGCCATCTGCAATGCTAGCGTAGTCTGAAACTTGATCAGAGTACAAACACCATAACACATGGAAAGTATTTGCTGGTGTCACTCCAAATATTCAGATGTCATTAATTTTAGTCTTGTGGCGGGGACAAGTATCAGACAGGGAGCCGGATTACAAGGGAAAGTGGTGTTCGTAATTTATTAGAGCCTAGTGACAATGTGATGGTTGACAGGGGCTTTGATAATTCAGATATTGTCCCAAGTGATGTAAAAGTAAAAATGTTTTGCTATTTCAAATGCAGTTTTCGCAGCCTTGCTGAAATTTGAAGCTGTTAGAGGTGATTATCGCTTTTCAGGCCACAGGGGTGGGGTGTTTTGACGGCTTGTGATCCTTCAGTTTAAATCTGTTCGTTGCAATGTTATAACTGTCAGTAAAAAATACTTCTTGTAAATCTTTCTGTCTATTATCTAAGGCTGATTGAAATGCCATTTGCGAGAGACCCATATTTGGATCAATGTTCTTGAGTGCATTTTTAGGAACTTCTGCATTCTTGTCATGCATAGTGTTCATTCTTGCATCATACAAGAAGCACCTTTCATTAGATCCTGACCTCAAATCATCGTCTTTTGTTTTGGTCACTTTAACCTCTATAATTAGCTATGGGGCAATATTGGAATGTCCACCTCACTTATGCCATTGCTGCAATTAAGATGTGCAGGCTAAGTTAAATAAGGAAAACTTACATAACTTGAACATAAAGGCTAACGCATGCAGTCATCAAGGAAAAGTTCCAACTGGTTACCGAAATCTTGGAATTATGAGTTTCCAAAGTGCGTAATATAACCCTTCTGTCTGTTGCACTTAAATGAGATCATTCAATGTGGGTGAAAGTCGATAGTTACCATGCTCTATGATTTGAATAAGAATTTTACACCGCCATTTCAACCGAATGGAGACCTCTCTTAAATTGGTCACTGATGCACTCACTGCAGCTTTTTTGGTATTTCCTTTTAATTCTACTTGGCCATTGGGATTTCTTCGAGTTGACTTCATAAAAGTTGAATAAATAATAGCCTCCATTTGGCCCAAATTATGCCCGGATATTTCTCCGCGAACATCTGTTCTCTTCTCAGAACAAACAATGTCCAAGGACAAATATGCGAGCTTATTTTTGGGGTCAAGTAGAGGCTATTGTGTTCATTATTATTCGCACATTTTTGCAGCTTGCCTGAAAAAAATGTTTACAGACAGCTATAGAATATTCCTTCTTTTGTAACAAGAGACTTAGGAAGACTTATAGGTTTGAAAATTGTTAAATATCACTTGGGGTTTATCCTCGGATATTCCCAAGTTTTAATTGAGCACATTCGGTCACGTGATGTGTGTAGGCAATTCGCGTGTGATCAAAATTAGTTATGGATTACAATCCGGCGAGAATATTGAAAATGACGATTTATAAAATCAAGAAATAAATGAATTGAAATTCAAAAGAATTAAAAAAATCAAGTCTAAAAAGGGTACTGTTAGTCTATTGCTGCTTCCTAAAACGTGCTTGTACTACAGTTTTTGATGGCATCGGATGAAAAGTTCCGCAGTCTAAGGAAGGCCCTCTAGCTCAAGGTTTCAGGTGGAAAGGTCAGATTTTAATCAGCATTTGCGAGAAGGTATCTAGGTTATAGGAGAAAGAGATCTTAATCGACACTGTGCCTATTTATTCTTTATTAGGTCATCCATTCATCATGACAGTAGGGTGTGTGGCAGGAGATGAAGAATCGTATGAGGTGTTTGCCGAGTTATTGGATCCAGTGATAGAGATGCGTCATGGCGGCTACAAGAAAACCGACCAGCACAAGACCGACCTCGATTTCACGAAAATAAAAGGCGGCAAACTTGATGAGAACTATGTATTATCGTCACGTGTTCGTACAGGGCGCTCCATCCGGGGATTTTCCTTGCCACCACACTGCACACGTGCTGAGCGAAGAGGAGTTGAGAAGGCTGTGGTTGACGCCCTGAATAACCTGGATGGGGATTTAAAAGGAAAGTATGTATTTTCATTTGGGGTTTGTCCTCGAATATTCCAAAATCCAGGACATGAGGAAGGTAGACAAATCGGAGAGCAACAATTATCAAAAACTCATTGACAGTCAGAGTCATTCTTTTTTTAACAGAAGTGAATCCCAGCTACGATGGCTCCCGTAGAAAAATCAAAGTAACACCTGTGTCCTGTGTCCAGTTTCCAGTGTCCAGTGTCCTGTGCATCAGTTTCATCTTCTGAACCAAATGTTTTATGGCCCTTGCAAACAGATAGGCATAAGCCTTCGAATTTAGCAAAACAAAGAACGACACCGCGAGAAACAGACATGTCGTACTCAGAAGAACACAAAATGTGACACGACGTTTCACTAATTTACTGCAAAATAACAAGATCGTTAAATAGCTGCATGACAGAGTTATTTCTCATCCTTTTCTTTGGTGCCACATATCGTCTAAAAAGCGAAAAAATTATTGTGCAGTACTCAGGAAGGCTGGTAGGGGTCTTTAGTGCGTCTGTTAAGAGAAGGCGATGGGCCGTACTATTGTTACGTTTAACTAGCATTCGCAGTTGAATCAGGTTGTTGGATGAAATTTTAAAATATCATTATTTTTGTAAAGGAAGGAGGCACTTGCAGCATAGGACTCCCCTCCCCCAATCCACTTAGCTTCCATCCCATTCCCCCCCGTCTACACCCTTGATACTGCATGAGCGAAAAACGCTGTGAAAATTACTATGGATGTCAATTAATCGCTTCAGCTTTGTCTACCTTCTTTTGACTGTTTCTTTTGAATTAAAATTTTTAATCCCTTTTCCAGATACTATCCACTAAACAAAATGACAGAGGCTGAACAGGAACAACTGATCGAGGACCACTTCTTGTTCGACAAACCAGTGTCTCCTCTTCTGACGTGTGCTGGAATGGCACGTGACTGGCCCGATGCTCGCGGTATCTGGCACAATGAAAAGAAGAACTTTTTGGTTTGGATCAATGAAGAGGATCACACTCGGGTGATTTCCATGCAGAAGGGAGGAGATATGGCCGCTGTGTTTGAACGCTTCTGTACTGGACTGAATAAGGTAATTTGACCGACTTATTATACTAGTCGTGAATCAAGTTAAAGGAATCATGATACACATTTAAAAATTCCAAACCAGGTTTATTCAAGAGATAAAATTAGGCGATTTTGAATTACCCTCTTCCCTACCACCGCCTTCCCTCTTCTTAGATATTTCTGAGAGACCCCTGGAGTTAAAACCAGGCTCCGGTTGTTCGAAGGATAGATAACGCTATCCACTGGATAAATCGCTATCTGGTGGATAGCGCTATACGTTTCTCTATCATTTATCCGCTGGATAGCGATTTCTCCTTTGGGTAGCGTCATCCGCCCTTTTTGCAACTGGGCCCAGGAGGTTAAAATCAGGCAATTCTGTTTGCCCCGACAGAGCATAGGAAGGAAACATCCTGACAAAAAGCGTTCTAGATGTAACTATAGACCCAATAAACAAATACCCAGAGTTGAAAATTAACTTGAGAGAGATTTCCTTCGACACGAGGCCATTTGACGAGTGGAGTCTCCTATCTTAATCTTTTCTGGTTTACACTATGTTGCATGCTTTTGATATCGAAGTATTCGCAGACTGGGCACAAGTGTGATATATCATTGCTGAGCTTCGTTTGTGAGTTCATGCTTTGTCCTTAGGGTTGTTCCTGTACCTTAATTAGCTTCAAAACAAAGCCACTCCCCACAAATGGTCGGAAAGTAACGAATATTACAAAGAAAACGAGTGGCCTAGCTTGAAAATTTATAAAGGCTCATGTTACGGCTAAATGAATTTACAAATTGGCCTGATAACATGGAAATGAGATTTCTCAACATTTAACTTCGTTATCCATACAATATCAAAATTTTGTCCACATTCTCACTCGCGGCTGGTGCCATGAAGCTTGTTCAGCATATCTATCATCATTGCCAAAAGTCTCAAGACACCCCTAGGGAAAGTAGCTCAATACCGTTCGTCTCGGCTCTTTTTCCACAAAAATATTGATTTTAATCACTCCTTCGCAATAAGCTTATTTGGAATGAAGTCAGAGAGAGGGACTTACGCAGTTAAAAGATCACAACACTTTTCCTAAAACATGAATTGGCAAAACACTAGGTCACAAATTATGCTTCTCCTGTCTACGTTTTTCGAAGATGCTCCAGGAACTTTTGGCTTGGCTTCTGTTGCTCATCCATTCATAAAACTTCTTCCACTAATTTCTGTTTGTTGTCGTTGTTTATTTATTAGGTCGAACAACTGATCAAAGGAGCTGGTCACAGTTTTATGTGGAGTGAGCATCTCGGCTTTATCCTGACTTGTCCCTCAAACCTCGGCACAGGGCTCCGAGGAGGCGTACATCTCAAAATCCCTGAGTTAAGTAAAGACGAAGAGAGACTGAATAGCATCCTGAAGAAATTTCGTCTACAGAAACGTGGCACGGGAGGTGTAGACACCGCTTCAGTGGGAGGAACTTTTGACATTTCCAATGCTGATAGGCTGGGAAAGTCGGAGGTTGAGCAAGTTCAAGCCGTGATTGACGGAGTCCAGTTGTTGATTGAAATGGAGAAGAGATTGGAGAAAGGTGAATCAATTGATGACTTGATTCCCAATTAAACCATTGGAATGATCTCACCGGGATATTGTTTTATCTGATTTCTTGTGGTTTTTCACGATTATTTGACTTAGTGGAGAGCTCAGTTAAAATAACATGATTATGGATCACTTAAACTTACAAAAGTAAATGTGTCAGGATTCTCTTGTTGTCTGATTATCTACATCTAAATAAAACACTTCAAATCTTCACTGTCTAGTTTGCTTTAGCAAGTAGTTACACAGAAACCAAGAATCCTCTGAAAACGCTCTTGCCGCGAAAGGCATTTCTCACCTTGACAAACCGCAAAAAATGGCCAAAATCTTTCACGATTTTAAGAACAAGGGCCTTCAAAAAACACATTAACCTGCTACACCATACAAACATAACTAGAGAAGGAAATAATATGGTGCTCTTGCAATTTTTGCCGGTGTGTCCATGCGACCTAGCAGACTGACAAAGAGAGGGAGGGGAGATAGCCAAACTCCAAGTAAAATGTTTGAGATTGTAGGCCAAGTGTAAGCTCTTCACTCTAATTAGCAGTAAGTTGCGAAAGAGTCAGTGGTCTAGTAGCATCAATCAGATCAGTTCCGATATAAAAGCCAACGAAATCGCAGGAATGTAGCCACTTTCACCTCGATTGATTTTGTTTTTCATTTTTCCTTCTTGACTTCTAATTTTACTACGGTGGTGCCGCTATATTTCAGCTCAAAATTCAAATTTCCACACAATATTTTTAATCAATTTTTTAAATATAAAACTAGTGAACAGTACATAGCATCATATCTTGTCAACTTTGTTTACTATCCTTATTTTTTAAATTTTTCAAATAAAAACTAGTGAGCAGCACACAGCATCAGATCTTGTCAACTTTTTTTATTGTCCGATTTTTCCCAATTTTTTTAACTTATTTTTTAATTTTTGATTTTTTAGAAAAATTTTTAAATTAAAACTAGTGAGCAGATCTTTTGCAACAGATCTTGTCAACTTTTTTATTATCCAATTTTTTGAACAATCTTTTAAAATTAATTTTTTTAAGATTTTTGTTTATTAATTTTTTTAATTTTTAAAATAAAAACTAGTAAGCAGCGCACAGCAACAGATCTTTTCACCTTTGTCTATTATCCAAATTCAAATTCAACTTTCCAGACCCGAGGCCATATGATTAATTTAAAGTGATTGATGATAGCCAGACTGTCCGTAACCATTAAAGAAGCCTTTCACATACCCTACAATTTCTGGTCTGGAGGAGAAACGAGGTTACCACTACGGAAGTTGTCGTCTGTTCAACGTAAAAAGATCAAAGTGCTCTGTGAGCAAACTCGTGAATTGACAGATGACTTACATGATTTTTTGGATTATGTTTAATGTTATCTGGTTTAGGGAATTTGTGGTCAATTGTCATATTTAGAGTACGAGCAGTAGTTCAGTGTTCGCTGATGTAGCAAAGAAACAAAGTAACGTTGGGATAAGAAGGCATTACAATTGAAATGATCATGCTATTACATTTGACAAGGGTGGATGATGTCATGTGTTTTAAAAATATATCATTTTTGTTTCTGGTTCAAAAGAAAAGGTTGGAAGTAAATGTGGGTGAAAAGTGAAATATACTGTCTATCATTGTAAATATTGGAAAATCAAGGCAACACTGTCTTAATGGAAACATTCATGATTCCCTCTTTATCAAATGAGACAAACGGGAACGAGTTTTGAGTGATATAACTAAGCCCAGACTGCTACTGTCATTTTGGATTTCCGCCTGGGTATATTTTGGTCACGTGCTAGGCAACGTATAATCAAGAACAAGATAGAATTTCATTTCAGGCCTATTTATCAATTTTGTGGTGTATGACTTTCGCATTTTAGTGCGTAATATTTATTTTGAATCTTCAAATATTCTTGAAATTTAAAAGAAAAATTGTTCTTTAAAAAATTCACTGAAAATCGGTAGCCAAAATTATTTGTTTAGGTGTTATTTGATTTTCGTGTTAATCTGTAACTTCGTTAGTTGCCGGCACCTTTTGTTGCTTAACACAGAAAAAACACACGATACGAAATGTAACGATCGATTTTGTCCCCAATCTCACGACACAACAGAAAAAGCTTTTGAACACCTGCAAACTCCGAGCGCTTCGGAGTAAGTGATATTTTTAGTGAATCTCCGGATCGTTTTCAAGTTCAAGGATTGTAAATTACAATTTTATGAAAAACGAAGGTTGTTCTCTTATTTCATTTTGAATCCTCGTACGCCTGCCAGTCGCTGGCGCCGCTTGTTGAAACTAAAACGAATAAATATAAACCCTTTTAAGATTATCATCGGCTTCTTTTTCACCCCACCACTCTTCTTAGCAACAAAGGTCGCCATTTCGTTTGTTTATTATTCGCCAAAAACTATCAAATGCACTCAAAAGCCTAAAATCGAAAAAAAGTCTACAGGAATCGACCAATCGAGCGAGCGAGCGAGCGAGTGCCATTCTCCACATCATATCTATAACTCGCTCTTGCGCATGCGCGCAATTCACGAATAAAAAGAATCTCCTCAGTTGTAAACACCACAGGCCTACCACAGGAAAGCGTGGAGCTTTCCTCTCCTCAGCCTTCGAATCGAGTGATGATGGTAGACCAATCAAGCGAGCGTAGCGAGCGAGGTTTTGCCATTCTCCACAACCCATCAAGAGAATTTTGAATAGCTTAAAGTAAAAACCTCAGACTTTGGGGCATATTTTCGCGCATGCGACTATGCGAATTCGGACAGACCAAACGCCAGTTTGAATAAAAAGACCAAAAAGCGGTTTTTCTTTGCAAAAAGGAAAATTCAGCTTTATCGGAGCATACTTGCCTAACCAACCATACAATTGGGTGGGATAATTCTAAAATTATCACTACTAATCGGCGTAGCGCCTTTGTTTGGAAACACCAAATCGTGACGATGGCCTACCACAATTAGGAAATAAAAGCGTGGAGATCTGATGAAGGCCTAATATTCAGTACTTTACTCAAAATTATGTTTAAGAGTGAGTGTAATGTTATCTACATACATGCAAATTTACTTGCTTGTGTTTTGGCTAAATATAATCAGCGTTCGTTATTGTTAAACGTTGTGCATGGCACACTCGCTAAAATAATCATCCGGGAACTTACGCCGCCTTTTGCCCGTCGTCACAGTCCTCAATTCTAAACCAATTTCTTTGAAAGCATTCCTACCTAAATGAAAAGTTACTCCTGACACTCGAAGTAGCCATAGAAATTTATCGACGAAAAATTAATCGCAATTGTTTTTCCTTTATAAAATATTTTTATACGATTCATGTAATTACGTCAACACATGCACCATAAACTTGTTTAGAGCTCCTAACATACAACTCAGTTATCAAAAAACTCCTGAGTTCGAATTCTCAAGCGACTTCTTTTGGAGAAATGAAAAATTATCATAGCAAACAAATGTCTGAAGATAATTAAAAAGCCCTAATTATCAAAACATTTCTGCGCCTCTGAAGAGTTGCTATGAAATTATGCCGAATGATGAAAAGTTACCAAATCGTTGTTTGTTTGTTTTCTTTCTGTTAGTATCCTTCCCCTGACACATCAATGAAGAAAATAGTGACCAAAATCCTTCTACTTATTTTGGCAACTGGCACGTGTTTACAATTTAGCCTTTTCGTGATACATTTCTTCTCCGGTTGGTCGCACGAGTCTGCACCAACTCCAGCATTAAAGTCAGGTACATTTTACGTCGCTGAACTTCAGAAAAACGATCAGCAATTGGAAAACGCAAAACAGGAACAAATTACGGCACCTCCCTACCTAAGTGATCTTTCAACGTTGCAATTCAGACATAAAACATCTCTTATAACTAAGAGAATTTGTGCACAACATTACGAACTTCTCATTCTTGTAGCGTCTGCTCCACCTAATTTGCAAAGAAGGAATAATATACGTCTAACATGGGCTTTCCGAAGGGCTCTCAAACCAAGATGGACGACAGTTTTTCTTGTCGCACAAGTACAAAATCAACCTCTGTCAAACTTTTTATTGAGGGAAGATGAAGTTTATGGAGACCTTGTGCGAGCTGACTACTTTGACCATTACTGGAATCAGACCAGAAAGATACAAATGGGCTTCGAATGGGCGATAAGGTATTGCAGGTTCTCTTTTCTTTTAAAGACAGATGATGATGTCTTCGTGAATACTCCAGCTGTTCTTTCCTTCTTGAATAACCCTACAATTCCAAACGTAATGTTATACGCCGGTAAACAGTACAAAAACCCTTGGATTCTCAGAAGTGGAAAATGGAAAGTAAGTTTGGAAGAATTTGCAGGAAAACATTACCCTGATTTTTGCGCAGGGTTTGGATACATTTTATCACGCGATGTTGTTGCTTCGTTTGTCGAAGCTTTTTCCATGGTACCTTTCTTTAGACTGGACGATGTCTACGTTGGTATGTTGGCGAAAAAGACTGGAATAAAAATTTTACACGCTGATGGTTTTGAATTAAACTCAAAGAGGCCGGAATTGCAGTGTACTCCAAGTACCAATTTTAAGACGCTAATACGACATGGTGTAGAGGGAAATTGCCTGATCGAAATGTACCACAGAGCGGTTTTATCACGTAAAGACAGTGATCGTTCGAATGAATTAAGCCATACTTAAGAATGCAATCTTACCCTGCACGGCAAGAAAAAACGTAAGGTGAAATGGAATGAAACAAATTCCCACTTGTTGATTACAGGTTGTTATAATTTTTTTTTGCACGAGAGGTATAGCGGGTTGGAATTCTCTTCTTCTGATTGTAAATCCAGGTCAGATCTTTGCGTTACTTATCGTGAATAAATAAACGGTAATCATTCATCTTTACTATTTTTACAGTTCCAGTTAGGTACTCTAGAACACTGCGGTTCACGATATTTGTTTCAATTTTTTTCCATTTGCCTTGAAAAGCCCTTTCGGGGGTGGGGTCAGTTAATGCTATCATAATTACTATCATTATTACTATTATCATTGTCACTATAACTACAGTTTTATTAGTTGTACGCATCCTTTACTCCACCTGCTAACTTTACTCTAATTAGAAGGGAAAAAGTTTTTCCTAAGTTTCCATCGTACAAATGCACGCAGGGTATGCTGCTCGACAGGTTCTTAATTTACAAACTGAACAAGAAAACTACCTAAACAGCGGCTGTTTATTTCCATTGCAAGATAAACCGCCATTAACATTAGCGGGGAACATTCCATACTCGAACATTCTATAACTAAGATTAAAATTGAAAAGTGAAAATATAATACAAAAGCAAGCAAGAAAAAGCTTTTTACAAATTCATCTTTGAGCAATACAAAAAGGTGCGATAGGGAATCAGACGAAAGCGAGGCAATGCGTCTATGCGGCAGTTTCCATCATTCCATTACTTAGATTTACTTGCCGCTTCTCCCAAAGGCTACCGTCTACGACCCCTCGCCTGATGCGTTGAGGCACCTAAAAAGCAAAAGATATTTATATGAGCGGTTGGCCATGTTTGATTTACTTAGAAGCGAGCTCTAAAGCACAGGGATGAGGCTCACTAGGAAACTTCCCGTGAAAAATAAAAGCAAACAAACTACTAAAAGACGTTAACAACGGACGCTAAGTTCTGTATATACACTAATAGATAATTGAATATCGAAGCTGAATCTATCCACGGTCAGTACTCTTTCGACTTTAAAATTCCACGAGCTTCCAACAACCTTCTTAATATATTTTTTGGTGTTTTCGACGAGCAATTATTGTGAAGTTGGTTTCAAAAAAACGTGCAAACGTTTATTTATGATAGTTTTCTCGTCTCCTTATTTTATATGAATATCCCTCCAAGTCATTTACCATGAATTTCTGAAAAGTGATATTATAAAATTCCATTCCCAAATGGAGCCTGTTGGTGATATTTTTCTTACCAGGAATCTTTTGATTGTTTGGTCTTGGCAATTGACTCCTCCCGGGTTTAGGGATCTTTGACCTCGAACCCTGTGGTATATTTACAGTGTTCGTCTTCCGTGGCGACAGGGGCATCTCTGGAGGGGCAAACTGTCCCCATGGGAGAACGTGAATGGACTCAGGATTTTCCTTCTGGAAAAATCAAGAGAATATAAAGCAGATGTCAACATTAAATTTTTTCGACAATCAGAACCCACTCTTAACGTTCCCTGTCTGCCGAAAATCAAGCGATAACCTAGTTAAGACGGTCATTCCTTACTACTGAATCACAAATACTGGAACGCGACCACTGTTTCGACAAGTATCAGCAGTTTTACTTACCCCGTCTTTTTTAAATGAAGGCTGAACAGATTTTTTGGCTGCACTGCGGGTATTTAACCTTATGGTGGCAGTCTGGCGGTCTGCTTCACTGCCGCTTGATACACGTGGTCTCTTCGCGATTCTTATATCTACCGCTAAAGTGTAAGAATATCAAGAAAAATGTAAAGATAAGCAATTTTTCTCTAAAAAGGTTTTCCTTAGCAGTTAATACGGTAAAGCATTTCACGGCTCTTCCTTAACAGATTCTGTCGTCCAAATAAATGTGCCAGTTTTTGAACCAGGACACTGTATTTCAGGACAAAATTTGTTAATATAGATGAGATAACGAGGAATTTATGAGGGGTTAAAGAATATTTTTTTCTTCATAATGTTTTATGTAACCAGTGGTGCTAACAGGTTCTCTTTGCTAAATGCTTCTCGTGAACAATTGTGACAAAGGTAATATTAATGAGGCTGAAGAAAAAAGCTACAACCAAAATAAAATCGACGATATTGTACTAAAAATAACCCTTCTCCGAACACAAGGACCAATAAAGCAAAACCAATAAATTTCTGGAATATTCGCGACACTCAGCGTCAAATCTTCTCTATTGGAAATATATTTACATTGTTCAGTACCAATGCAGCACACACCTGTTCTTGCTCTTTTCTTGGTATCTGAGATTGTTTCTTCTGCGGGAGCTGCCTGTGACGTGACGGCAGTCGTGGACTCGATATCCAAGTTGGATAAGGATTTAGCAAGTGGCGTGAGAGAAGTATCTGCTTTTAATAAATTCACTCTGGAAGGTTTAAATGAACTTGATCCATCTGAACTTTCTCCAGCACCAGCAGTGTCTGAACAAGGTGATGCAGCGTTCTTGTCCCGGCTGAGCATTTCCAGCTTGTTTACAAGTTTCAGGCTGGTGGCTAGAGATTTTTGTGCGTTTTCTTTCTTCTCGTCTGCAACGGTTTTCCATTCCTTAACTTCCGCTTGAAGTTTACATACTTCACTTCTGAGATTGTTCATCTCTTCATCTTTACAGGTGTTAGTACCACAACTTGAGTTTTTCTCATCTGCTATAGTCTCCCACTTTTGAACTTCACTGTCAAGCTCGCTGACTTGTGTTTTGAATTGTTCTGTTTCATCAGAACTGGTCCAATTTCCTCTACCTTCAAAAGAAATAACTTTAAGGTTTGCTTGAATTAGCTCGTTTTGGATCTTTTCCTGGGCGTGTTTTGCTTGATTAGACCTGAGCTTGGCCTCTTCTAGCTGATGCAGAAGCTTTTTCTTCTCTCGGACGCATGCAAAATGATCTGAACTTGCGGCAGTTTTCTGCTGCAGCTCTTTGTTTTCCTCTCTCAGCAGATTGCAATCATTGATGGCATCACGCAACTCAAACTTTACTCTGTCCAACTCTCTGTCATAATCTTCCTTCATCTCCTCACTCCCCTCTTCTGTTTGCTTAAGCTGTTCTTTAACCTGCCTTAGCTCTTTACACTTATCCTCGAAATTCTTTTCCATGTTATCGAGGTTCTTCCTAAGATCTTCATAGGCAAATGTTAGTTCGACTAATTTTGTTTCCTTGTCTTTGCTCGATTCTTCATTCTCCTTGTCAGTAAGCTGCAGTAATGTCTTCATTTCAGCCAGTTCCTCCTTCTTCCTCTCGACACATTTCTTCTCTTGTTCAAGAATGCCTCTCATCTCCTTGACGGTATTTGCTAATTCATCCTTTTCTCTCATTTCTTTTTCAAGCCTTTCCTCAAGTTTGCGGTAGCTAGGACTCCCGAGATCCACTTTTTGCTCCTGCAGATTCCTTGCACTGTTGTCTTTCCGCTCGCATTGTTTGTGCTCAGTTGTGACGGAGTCCAGTTCTGTGGTGAGTGATCTGACTTGTTCCTTGAGAGACGCTAATATTTCAGTTTGATCATTGAGACTTCTTTGAAGTTTTTCCACTTGAGTGCATCTTGCAGAGAGCAAGTTCTGTAATTTTTCCAACTCTTTGATCTTCTAAAAAACCAACCATAAGCAAAATAAAATTAAAACATATTTTTCACGACCTGAATCTCTAAGCTTAGCGACCGTTGAGGAAGAGTCCATTTCACATCAAGAGATGTAGACGGGTCAACTGAAAGAGACAAAAATTTCACTATAAGGGGCTATCACTAACGCCAATCGTTTAGCCAAAGCAAGACATACTTTTCTCGGCTTCAAAATGAAGTTTCAAAATGATTGTTAGTCTTATAGGAATTAACTCAAAGCACTCGCTTCAATCGTAATTTTCTGTGACCTGCCCGTGAAAGTCTCTAATAACTTTTAGGTACCGACCCATTGGAGCCCATCTATCATTCGTATAAAAATTGCTTTGTATAACGTATAATTCTGTAACATATCAATTCTATTAAAACATACCAACCTGGCCATGGTTTTCTTAAGGACCCATTTTCCTCACCTGAGTCTGATCCTCTTCCCATTTTCTCCTATGGTCCTCTGAATGTTTCTTTGCTGATTCAAGCTCCATTCTAACGGCAGACATTTCCTCCTCAAGTCGAGCATTCTCACTTGATATCTCCACCAGTTGACCCTTCTGACTATCAACTCTGCCCTCCACACTCTCCTTCACTCGTCTCAGTTCTCTACAAGCTTGCTCCAGTTCATCATTTTTCCCAGCCAACTGATCCACTTCTGCAGTTTTTCTGTCTACAGCTGAAAGGAGTTCCTGCTTATCTGACAAAAGTTCAGCGATATTATTTTCCAACTCTCCAACTTTGTCGTCGTAGAATTCAACTTCTTTTTGCGCTTTCTCAGCCATATTTACCGCGAGTTGCTCTTTTTCTCTTAACAATTCGTTCTTTTGTTCAATCTCCGAATCTTTCAAGGCCATTGCTGATGTTCGCTCAGCTTCCATAGAGTTATAAGCATCATGAAGTCGGCTCAGTTCGTTCTTTGTGTTGTCCAACTCCGACTTCAGCTCAGATTTGCTGGCTTCTAAACACTGCACTTGCTCTTGGAGGATTCTGACAAATTTATCGCTTTCCTCCTCATTTCTTGCCATTACTTCTTTTTCATCCCTATCTGTAACATAGGTCTGCAACCTTTCTTCAACGTAGGAAAACTGCTCCTTAGAGTGCTTTAGCATGCCTTCCAACTCGTACTTTTGGGTTTCCAAAGCTTTAACCATGGCTTCACTACTTTCCAGTCGTCTAGAAAGATCTGAAAAGCTCTCTTGCTTGTCGCTAATCTCTTCCTTTAATTCTTCAATTCTAGTATCAAAGTCTTCCTTCAGTTTTGTATTCTGCTTCATTAAATCGGTACTCTCTTTCTTTGCTTGTTTTTTCTCCTCTTCGGATTCTTTCAGAGCAATTTCAGCACGATAGAGTTTCTGGCGTATTTCCTGCAGAAATTTTTGTGAATCATCAAGTTTATCTACCACTTCTCTGTAATCTTGAGCTTTGGAATCAGCAAGCTCGCATGCCTTTTTACAATCTTGCTGATAAATTTTGCACTCATGCTTCAAACCTTCCATTGCTGCTTGGCATTCTCTTGTCTTTTCAAGTAATGATGATTTCTCATCTTCAAGGTCACTACAGGCTCTCAGCATCTCTTCCTCTCTCTTCTGCGTTTTCTCAATAAAAGCTTCATAGGAACTTTCTATCTTCATTTTCTCCTGGTCCTTTGAAGTTGAAATATTTTCAAGATGGAAAACTGTGTCTCTCAATCGGTCGATCTCTTCTTTGGACTTCTGAAGTTGTCCAAGTGCAGAAGAACACTCTTCCGATTTTTCTCGCAGCAGTTTTCTCCATTCATGGACAACCGATTCCCTTTCTTTCCCCATCTGCTCTGTGTCCACCTCAAGTCTCTTTTCAGCAGCTTTCAACAGATCTTCCACTTCCATTCTATCGCTATCTGTTTTGCTAAGAGTCTTCACCAACTCTTCAAGTTGACTCTGCAGTTTGGAAACTTTGTCTTCATTGGTAGCCTTGTTCTCCCTTAGTTCATGTAATTCTACTGATTGTTCTTCAAGCTTTATCAGCGTGTTGTCAAGGTTTGTTTGCACGTTCCCTAGTTCCTCTGACATCGTCAAACTCTTCTTTGTTTCAGTAAGCAACTGAGTTTCCAATGTTTGGATATCTTGTTTGAGTCGCTTCATACTTCTCTCGTTACTTTCCACATTTGACAGGCTCTCAGCAAGTTGATTGGTAACAATAGAAAGTTCTTCGGTTAGTTTTTCATTTGATTGTTCTTTTTCAGTAATTCTTCCCTTGGATTGTACCACTGATGCCTCCAATATTTCAATCTTTTTGTTCAGAGACTCGACAACGGAGTCCTTATCTTCTAGATCCATCTGTAAAATTTCCTTCTGAGCCTCTAGTTGTTTTAAGTTTTCACTTTTCTCATGAGCCATATTTGTTGCACCTTCAAGCTGGTCTTCCTTGCGCGCAAGCTTTCTCATAAGGTCCTGTTCTGCAATCTCTTTACTTCTCAGTTCACTTTCCCTCGTTACCAACTGCTCTCTCAGAGTTGAAATTTCTACTTCAGCTGAGTTGTCATACGCTTCTACTTTGGAGCGTAAGTCATTCAATTCTGATTCTTTACTCTTAACACAGGCCTCCAAATGACCACACCTCTCTTGTAGCTGCAAAAATTTAGTTTTCTGTGCCGCCTCTTGTTCCCTCACTTCCGCAATTTCCCTTCCATTTAATACCTGAAATTCATCAATTTGGTCGCTTTTCACTCTTAGTGCATCCTGGCTGGTTTTCAGCGCAATGGATAATTGCTCAAGTTTGTTTTCCAAACTAGTGTTCTTTTCCTCCAAGTTTAAGCGCAAGCTATCTAATTCATCCATTCTATTTGCTAAACCTGCCTTCTCCTCTTCTGCAGATTTTAGCTGTTGAATCATGGACATGATCTCCAAGTCTTTAGCTTCAAGGGCTGCACTCATTCTCTTCAGCCTTTCTGATACTGACGATAAATCTTCCTTAACACTTCTCGATTCTAAGAAATGTGTCTCAGAATTGGATTGCTGCTTACTTCTCTCAGCCTCCAGCTCTTCCAGAGTTTCTTTCAGCGCTTTTTCTCTGCTTTCAAAACTTGTCACAGTCTGTTCCAACTTGATCTTCAATGCATCATTTTCCTGTCTCTCTTTAGCTGCTTCCTCACTGGCTCTACCAATAGTTTCTTGAAGCTGGCCAATTTTTTCCCTCTGTTCGTGTAATTTTTCTTCCAAGGCAACGAGTGTCGTCTGTTTACTTTCCACAAAAGACTCCAACTGGCTGCATTTGCTTTGTAACGAAGCAATCATGTCTGTTTGCGTAGCACTCTGATTCTGCAACTCGGCCACTCTCTCAGTGTTATCTTGTTTAAGAAGTTTCTGTATCTCTTGTCTTTTCTCAGCAAGTTGCTCATCTTTGCTTTTCAGTATGGTTGACAACTGTTCCGTATCGGTCGCCATTTGGGAATTCTTGCCTTTCAATAGCTCAAACTGCGTATTTAGTTCATCCAGTCTACTCTCCAGAGTTTTCTTTTCATGCTCTGCAGCTTCAAGGCGTTCATACATTGATTCGACATCTTGGTCTTTCATTTCAAGAACTACATTCACTTTGTCCAACTTTTCCTTCGCCATAACGAGCGCATTTTGCGAATCATCCAGCTGGTCTTGTAATCCTTTAATGGTCTGATCTCCTTTGCACTTTTCATGTTCCAAACTCGCAGACACCTCCCTGAGCCTCACCTCTTTATCTTCGATAACAACTTGCTGTTGCTGAAGCTTCTGTTTCACGTTTCTCAGTTCTTCTTCAGCATGCTTCAAAGATTCTTGTTTTTCAGCAATTAAAGCTTCCAAAGAACGCAGTTTATCGGATAATTCTGTTTGGAATGCCAATGACCTACTCAGTTCTTCATTTTTACTCTCTACGCAAGCCTTTAACTGAGTAGAAGTCTCTTCTAATGTTCTCATTTTACCCTCTTGAGCTAAATACTTTCCTTCCAACTCCGAGATTTGTTGGTTGCCAGAAGTCTCTAATTCGACAAGTTTACTGGTCTTTGCCATCAACTCTTCATCCTTACTTTTCAGTATATCGGACATCTGTGCAACACGGCTTTGAAGCTCATCAATCTTTTCTGCTAATGCCATATTAGTGTTGTGCATTTCGTCTTTATGGACACCCAACTTTGTTTTCTCATCCTCTGTGGAAAGAAGCTGTTGAAGTTTGATCTCTAGTTTTTCATCCCTCCTTGCAATAGCTATACCACTTTGTTCTAGGCTGTTTTGAAGTTGTGTGATCTTTTCCTTTAGCGCTGTATTATGGTCATGTAGATCTTGTGTCTTGGTACCAAGGTCTCCCTTTTCTGTCTCCAGAATTTTAAGTTGGTTTCTAATACCCTCGATTACTTGATCTTTATCGCTCCTAGCTGCAGTGATTTGTTGCACAGTGTCTTGAAGTTCTGTGATCTCTGCTCTAAGAGATCTATTCTGGTCATGTAAATCTTGCGTCTTGATAGCCAGTTCTTCCTTCTCCTCCCCCATAACCTGAATCTGTTTTCGTATGCTCTCAAGCTCTTCATTTTTCATTGTAATAACTGCAGTGCTTTGGTTTAATTTCTGTGTCAAACAAGCAACTTCTGTCTTCAAGGATTCCAGTTCTGCAAGTGTAGTCTCAAGAGTTGACTGCCCACTTGCTTTCAACTCTGCAAGACTATCAGAAACTGCTTTGAAATCTCTTTCTTTGCTCTCGAGGACGGTTGTTTTAAACTGGAGAGTTTCTACTAATGCTGCCTTCTCTTTCTCCATTCCTGAAATCACCTCCCCCTTTGATATGGCCTCATTTTGGAGGTTATGTATTTCAGAAGTAAGCTGTTGTATTTTTTCTGTTGCAATGCCGCTCTCAGTGTTTTTGGTCTGAAGACAGGCTTCCAACTGAATGCTCTTTTCTTGTAATGACACAACCTGGTTCTGCAGAGTAGAACACTTCTCATTAATTCTTCCTTTTTCCTCGTCTTTAGCTTTCTCAAGACTTGTAATGAGTTTGCTTTGATTTGACAGCTCTTCGTCTTTGCTTTTCACAATTTCCGATAAATGCTCAAGCTGTACTGTCTTCTCTGCGAGTTGATCCTCTAACTTGAAGTTTGTATTACAAAGTTCATCGAGCATGGAGCTTAATTCTGTTTTTTCTGCTTCTGAGGCTTCTAACTGAGAATTAACAGCCTCTAACTCCTCTTTTTTACTCTCTGCAGCAGAATTTGCTTGTTCAAGACGTTCTTTCAGTCTTTCTTCCTCTTTCTTATGCTGGTCCAATTCAAGCCTAGTTCGTTCTAGAACAGACTCGTGCTCGAATCTAAGATTACTCAGACTGTCAGTTAATTCTTCCAACTTCACATTCTTAGCTTTTAGCACTGCGGACATTTGTTTCAAATCACTGTTCAACTTTTCATTTTCTATTCCACTTTCTTTGCTTGATTCCTCTTGCAATGCAAGATGCTTCTTGAGAGTAACAAGCTCTTCTTTAGCATTCGTTAACTCTTGCTTGGTCTCAACCAAATCTCCCTCTTTACTTTGAAGCAACATCTCCAAGTTTGCCGCCTTCTCTTGTGAAAACACAATCTCATTTTTGGTTGCATGACGCTGTTCTTTCATTTCATCTAGCTTCTTCTCAGTGCTACCCTTGATCTGATCAATCTCTTTAAATAGTGAAACAATTTCTTCGTCCTTGCTCTTCATGATTTTCCTGTCTTCCTCCTTCTGTTCTTCAAGGAAACTGTAATTTTTTTGTAATTCGCTGAGTTTTGCTAATTTTTCTGAATGTCGTAGTTGCAAATCACTTAGGGCTTTCTCTTTTGATTCCAACTCAGCCGATATTTCTTGTAAAAGAATATCTTTCTTCCTCAGCATTTCTTTGCTGTTTGACAAACTTTCTTCTGAGATTTGAAAAGAATCTTCCACTCTTTTGTACTGTGACTCGATACTCCCCAACTTCAACGACAGTTTCTCGATCTCGTTTTCTTTCTC